TAAAAAAATAAATATATAAATAATTATATATAGAAATGAGTGATTTAGATGATAAACAGCCTGAAATGGCAGAGATGCTGAACAAGATGACAAGATACAACAAGAATGTCAAAACACTGATGGACTTAATGAACAAGGCATTAGAAAAACTTGATATATTAGTGAAAAATAAACCTGCTGACGCTTCGGCAGAAACGGGACGAAGTCCCCTTAACGCCTTTCAGGCGGAAACCTCGCGAGGCTTTCGCGACAACAATGATGCTGATGCTGAAAAGGAAAGGATTGATAAAATTTTTGAGGCTAAAAAAATCGGCAGACCTGTAGGAACTTTTGAAACCAAGCAACAGCAGTATCTGAAAATGCTGAACGAAGGAAGAGTGAAGCAACCTAAAAGTCAAACTCTAGAGTTTTATAAAATTGAAAAAGACGGTGAAGTCTTCAAAGTGATGGGTGAATAGATGAAATTTTGATAATATTATTATCTATAATAATATTATGAAATGGTTAGAATTGTTTAGTGGCACTGGTAGTGTTGGAAGTGTAGCTAAAAATATGGGCTGGACTGTTGCGTCATTAGATTTGAAAGGGGCTGATATAAACTGCGACATACTACAATGGAAATACAAAAAATATCCAGTGAAATACTTTGACTTTGTCTGGGCTTCTCCCCGCTGTATTGAATACAGTATTGCTAAAACGGTTGGAACGCGAAAAATTGATGAGGCTAATGCCATCGTTTTGAAAACGCTTGAGATAATTAACTACTTTAATCCGCGAGTATTTATAATAGAAAATCCCCAGAGCGGACTTTTGAAGAAGCAGGAGTTTATGAAAGGGCTTCCGTATTTTGATATTGACTATTGTAAGTATGGTTTTAATTACAGGAAACGCACTAGGCTCTGGACTAACTTGGACACTTGGACACCCAGACCTCTTTGTAAAAAAGATTGCGATAGTATGGATGGAAACCGTCATAAAGAAACTGCCCAGAGGGCACCCAGTGGTAAAAAAGAGAACTGGAAAGAAGGCTATACCTTGTTCAAACAAAAGGATTTGTATAGAATACCTCAAGCATTGGTTGAAGAAATTATGATTGCTGTAAATGTTGTATGTTTTCAGTAAGATTGGGTTGTAAAGGGTTCCTACACTTGGGCTCATTAAGTAGGATTTGGGTTTCCTACTTGGTAGGATTTTCATTTCCTACTTGGAAAGGTGCTCATAAGGTAGGATAGGGGGTTCCTACTTGGGCTCATAAGGTAGGATACGGGGTTCCTACTTGGGCTCATAAGGTAGGATAGGGGGTTCCTACTTGGGCTGGATTTCGGTTCTCAACTTGGAATGGAGAGGTGCCATTCCTGAAAATGTATGGGTTCCATTCCCCAAAATGTAGGGGGTGCATTCCTACCCAAAAATGATTAAATTTCCTTCATAATCTGCCCAAAATGTAGGGGCTACATTCCCCAAAATGGAGGGGTTCCATTCCCATTATCTGGGCTGGACATAGGGATGTCTAAGGGCTGGACATAGGGATGTCTACGGGCTGGACATAGGGATGTCTACGGGCGGAAGGCCGGATATTTCCCATTATCTGGGCATAGGTGGATGCTATGGGGGCATAGGTAAATCTGGGGATGGCATAGGTGGATTTAGGGATGGCATAGGTAAATCTGGGGATGGCATAGGTGGATTTAGGGATGGCATAGGTAAATCTGGGGATGGCATAGGTGGATTTAGGGATGGCATAGGTAAATCTGGGGATGGCATAGGTGGGTTTCTCAATTGCCTTATGTATTGGCTTTACCATTGCTGGGGTCTGGCTTTATAGATAAATTCTTTCAGAATTTATCTTAAAGTTCCATCTCATAGGTATTAGCGATACAATGGGCTTTTGAATGAGGAGGGGTATATAGGTTGTTGTTATGATTTATGGTAAGGCTTGTTTTATAGTCTATTGTATTGTTTAGGTTGTTTTGTTTTTTCTTTGTTTTATGTGTTTGTTATGGTTTATATTATTGTTTTCTATAATGTGTTGCTCCCCTGTCTTTAGTATTTACCCCATAGAATTTTGTTGTATCATAATCTGGGCGGGTAGATAGGAAAGACGGGGGAGCAACAGTCTAACTATAATATAGAGAGAGACACATGAATAGATTTATAAGTAGCATCCCACACACATACAACGGTGAAATTGTTAGTACCTGTTGGCGATAAATCCACCATGTTGAAACACACCCAAATAGCAAGCTATAATAGATATAGATATAAATGGCGTTATAATAATAATAAGCTATAACAATAGATCTTATTATTATATAATAGCAAGCTATATATATAATAATAATAATGATAATAATAATAATAATATCATCATATATCCCCGTTATAATCGTCAAACTTAAACTATATAAAGGCCCATAGCCGGTGGGTGGTTTCTGCCGGATCAATTTTTATCATCCCAAAACAGTAGGGTTGAACATTACCCTCAGGTAAACATACAAACAACTATGGAAAATCACTATCTTTAAGTTCGGTAAATCAACGAACTAAATGGGCCATGTTCAATAGCAAACTGTTAATTGCCAGAGGGTAATTCCTATTAATACCCCCATTTTGGCTGGTGAATTCCCAGTAAAATCACCATTAAATCACTATTAAATCACCATTAAATGACCAAATTCCTAGTAAATCACCATTCAAATACCAGTATTTGAAATCACCCGGCAGTTTTTCGATGTGGTTTTTCCAGCATCGAGATGTCCGGATGAACATCGATCGGCTTTGGGCCAAGGCGGCCAAGACATGCCAAGACGCTGCCGGCTTCGGCGGCCTTTCTCAGCTTCAAGATGGTCGTCATCAAAAACAAACTCCTAGGACCAGGAAGCTGAACCCCCGTTGTGATCCTTGGGAAGAACCTGGAAAAATCGACTAATTGAGACCTGGAAAATCGGGATTACATAGAATCTATTACATGTCCTAGAGTCCAAGAAAAAATGGAGTTAACTCTAACATCTCCAACTTAAGAATATGAAATCAAGACAAAGATCATCTCCGAATCTCAGATGCTGGATGGGATTGAAACAACGATATTCAAGAACAATTCTCTGGTTGGTGGTTTCAACCCCTCTGAAAATATTAGTCAGTTGGGATGATTGTTCCCAATATATGCAAAAATAAACAATGTTTCAAACCGCCAACCAGTTCTGAGAGCACCAGGTCCAGGTCTGCTTCTGCTGATCCCGGCGTGCGGAGGCGTCAGGTAATTCCCATAGCCATCGCCCTAGAGCCCTTTGAAATGGGCGGCCAAATCGCACCTATGGAGGGCTACCCTCTGGTAATGACTAACAGTTTGCTATTGAAAATGGTCCATAGAAATAGCGGATTTACCCATTGAAAATGGTGATTTTCCATAGTTTTTTGTATGTTTAGCAAAGGGTAACACATCATTGGGGTGTGGAGAAATGAAATTCTCCACAATCGTTTCGTGAGAAGGATAGCCCAATCGACGAACTTGCTTGACAATCTGACAAAGGATGTCTCAGCAACGCTTTGTTTTGCCATTCCAGTACTATTACATATACTATTACTACTATCTGTCGGGCTAAATCTGTTTGGAGCATGAAATGTTTGACCTTTCTTTCCGTGTTGAAACCCGGTTCGAATAAGAGATCGGTTTCACACCAAACTTGTCGACCCCCCAAGCCCTGTCAGGTTCGGTATTCATGACCAAAAATACATGGACAATTCTTGAGCTTATTCATGTTCAATTTGGGTAGCCTCTGTTAATCAAACATGGCTATTTAAAAAAAAAACTATATAATATATAAATGGAAGTCTTGTAGACTGGGAAACTCATCCATACATATCTATACTATAGAGGGTTCCATTGCCACGTTTGTTTACTGGAGGGCATCTAGGAACTTAAAACAGATGCCGCATCATATTCCCCATAGATTCCCACAAAGGGAACTTGGCAGCCAAATCATCAGCAATCCAGGAATTTTCACGACTTACTGGTGCCTAGTAGGGAATGGATGGGAATGGGAGAATGGGATGATTACTACTAGTGATGAAATGGATCATTCCCGAACATTCTCTGCGCAAAACGCATTAAAACGCACCAGTTTCGGCCGAAAGTTCGGCCAAGTTTCAATTTGGGATGAGAGGAACCCAAATACCACAGCAGCTTTGGCCATGATGTCACCCAACTCATCAATGTTCCTGGCATTGCTCTGCCTATTGTTGTTGCCCGGGAGCCGGGAGCGCAACAAGAAGTCAAACAAAATACATGAAATTCATTGGTTGCTTACAGCATGGTGAGGCCAATCACATAGCTGATGAAAATTCAGAGCCAGTAGTTTTCTATAGTTTCAACTCGCTCTGAACATTAAAATAATCTAGGAGTATCATCCTCCCTTTTGTGACCGAAACTTCCAAGACAATCTTGAAACCACAAAACATGCAATATTCTGCCTGTCCTTTTTGCAGGTACAGACAAGTTCTCAACCCCTTCCAAAAAATGCAAAGATACCACTCGTTCAATTCGAGAATTCCAAGCCAGAGCCAAGAACAGCTCGGTGACCCCCCAACAATGTTTGGGTTTATTGAGGGTTTATTTATTACAGTAACATTTATTAACCACCAAGCGTTTGTTGCCTGAAGCAAACCCCAAATCAGGATGGACGCATTGCTCGCAAAATTCAACCTCTCCCGTCTCCCCACGCAATTTAACAAAATATTGGACAGCACATTTAGTTTGAAACCATATGCCCATCTCATCTTACTGTACTGCCGGGTTGGGGATCCACTTATATATAGTAAATGGTTCACATCCCACATACAATTTGGCACATGCCATTATTTGAAACTAGAGTAGACGCAATTATTACCCGCCCTCTAGTAAACTAGCGCGGCTATGGAAATCCATGGCTTTCCCTTCAAATTCATCGACTTGCTGATCAACTTTTGGTGGCTTTTCCAAAAAACTGGAGGATAACATCCGGTCAGCAACTTTGGTCAGCGCTGCCCTCGCCTGGTCGTAGCTCTTCAATGACCCGCGCCGTGTCGCGCGACGTCTGCCGCGCACAGCGGCGCGGCACCGCACGCTGCAGCAGCGGCGGCACAGGGTCGCTGTGGAGATCTAGCCTCAAAACTGAATGAAAAGTGTGCAGTCTGTTCCAAAGAGTTATCACCAGGATATAACCAGGAAATTACCAGAATATGGGCCACATTTTGACGAGGATATAACGGGGATATGGGAATGATAGATTACGATATCATGATACATTAATAGGATACATGACATGTCTCACATGTCTCTACATTCTCATACTACATATTCTAATTATATATACGTAAAAATAATTAGTCAATATACCCTCTGGCAAACTAAAATAGCTGTTGAAAATGGCTATATATTTATAGTTGATTTACCCAGTAAAAATGGTGATTTTCCATAGCAAACTGTTAGTTTACCAGGCCGGGTATGTTCTATGTTGGGATCCCCAGAGCATCCAAAAATGGTGTGGTAGTTTTAGCATTTTTCAATAACTCGAATTGTTGTGGGATCCATAACTCGAGAACTAGGCTCCAGCCTTGAAGTTTTCAAAAAGCTAAGCTCATCCATGTAGAGCCTCTCTAGCCCAATATGAACAAATCCAGTAAACCAATATGTTTTTATGAGCTGTTTGTTTTGGGGGAAGATTGGCAGCTGGACCAAGAACCTCAATTTACATAGCAAAAAATGATAAAGAATGTAATTATGTTGCCCAGTGTTGGTGGCAGTTTGGGAAACAACATCCGCCCACATCCGCATGTCCAAGATTGATTCAACAAACAATCTTAACTCAAAAACCCAGACATTCACCAAGGTTTCCTTTATGTTGTCTCACTTACGTGTTTATAGTAACCCCCAAAAAATGCTGAAATGGATGTTCGTTCGATCATATTTACTTCATCTTTCCAGGTTTCCTTGTCACTTTTCTATCAATTTTGACATCCATATGCATCCATAAAATCCAATCCCCATGATATCCCCATATCTACCCTCTGGTACTTTACCAGTTTGCTATTGAAAATGGCACATTTATATTTGATTTACCTTTAAAAAATGGTGATTTTCCATGGCTTTTTCTGTGTTTCTCAGAAGGTATCTTTCTTGGGGAGTCATCTCAAAGGAAACAGCGAGGCCCGTGGATCGAGTGTCAATGAGGCCGTAAGTGGCACAGCCAGTATTGCGGCAGTGGTGGGAAGGAACTCATCGTCACTTCGACCTGTGCCTGTCACGCGCACGGTCCACGGCGTCCACGGTAGCATGTTTTCTGGATTGATGTGGGTTTACAACCATGGAATTATATTAGATTTATAACTATAACCATCTATAACCATCTATAACCATCTATAACCATCTATAACCATCTATAACCATCTATAACCATCTATAACCATCTATAACCTATAACCATTAGATTTAAACTAATGTATTTATAACTATAGCCATCCATAACCATCATAGATTTGATTTAATTAACGCATTGATAGTTCCAACTTGGCTGGATTCATATAATCAAGATTGATGGATTACAAATTATAGTTTGGTAACTAATGCGCTAATAATAGTCAAATAGTCTCAACATCTCCCAACTTAGTTAACCAGTAGCCGTGCAGTTGGGATGATTGATGCCAATAAGAATGTGGAGTTGTCTATGTCAGTAAAAAGGATAGAACATCATGGAGAAACAAAGAATGGTCACAACAATGTGAGCAATGGTCCGGAAATAGACTCAAGCATATATTCAAGCGCACTTCTGGGTTTGGGTGTCTTAGTCTCCCATGGCAAGGACTGAACTGTCTTTTCGGGCAACGACCCACCAACTTGTGCAAACAACAAAGGGCAAAATGTTTCTGCAAATACGAGCCAACCGTTTTTGGCAAAATGGACGTTGATACTGCTCATTTATGAAGCATTGATGATACGGCAGTTTAGGTTGGTATTGAATCAAGTCTCTTAGTTTTTATTTGGCTGCATTTTTTCACATCTATAGCTGCGCATTGGACGTCCAAATGCTATACCGGAACTATACCCATAGGATCCATGTGTGCTATATATGGTAACATTTACCATCCATATACCCCAAATGTTAGCATATATACAATACATGGATCCTATGGGATATATATTCAGAACCAAATAACAACAGTCACCCCCACTTGCTATACCGGAACGGTGGTAAGCCCATAGGAAATCCATGGTGACCCCAAAGGCAGGCCTGCTGCGACAGCAGCTGTCACACCGGCCAAATGCTGAAGATCAGTAGTGGAAAAATGCTCCTGTTTGGATGGCTGTCCTAAAATGGGAAAAATCGAGGTTACCTCTCAATGGGTACCCAGAAGTACCCTCTGGTAATTTAACATAGCTATTGAAAATTGCCATTTATAGTGGATTTTCCCATGAAAAATGGTGATTTTCCATAGTTATGTTAGTTTACCAGAGGGTACCAACTCATTGCAACATCCAAGATCTGAAGGCCGGACATGGCTCGAAGATGGGAAAAAAGTCGTTAAAGTGCCAGCAAATTCTGTCTTGCCTCCTCTCCAACCATCTTATTGTTTGGCAGCATAAACGATGTCCGATTGTTTGGAACCATAGCTGAGCCATTCCACGATGTTTTTGCAAACATTTGTAACTTCTGCGTTCCAAGTTGATACTTCAATGTGAGCCAGTTCAGTCCACTTGGATATGAGTCCACTTGGACCAAAGCAAGATCTGGTCAGTAGAACAAACTGGTGGTACATCATTGCTACTTCCAGTGATTTCAACAGAAGAAAACAAAACAAATCAGACTTAAGCTGATCTGGATAGCCAAGTTTTCCTATAAGTTACCCTCTGGTTATGACTAACACTTTGCCATGGTTAAGCCATGGCCCATCATTTTATAGATGATATTTTCCCAGCGAACTAAAGCTCCATTGATTTGGGGGTTTTTCCAGCCGGCTATGTTAGTCATAAGCAGATGGTAATCTCCAACCAGAAACCTCCAACCAGATTCTCCCGTTAAAGCAGCGGAACCAGCACCAAAAGACAGCCCAGCAGGGCTCCGTTTGGCTCCAAAGCAGCTCCAGGACCAGCAGACCGTGGCACAAGCAGCCGATGGAGGTGAATGGTTTCACCTGCGGGCCGCCGTTTCGAAGGGCACCGAGGAGTGTTCGGGTTCCGGAAAAAAAACTGGGAAAACCATGGAGTTATATTGTTTAAACATGTTTAAAATATACTATAACATATACATATACATATACATATATATATAACACTATATAACATGATATAACCATGCGATGAATGGGATAAAATTGCAAAGATGTTTGAACATGTTCTTTTTTAGGTGTGTTTTCTCTAGTTGCTATTTGTAGCCCCCTATATCTTCCATATTCTTCCAAAACTGTGGTGTTGTTCATCCTATTTATATTCTTGCAGCCTGTTCTTAAATTGTGCGTTCTATATCTATATCTGGGGTCACTGCAAGAAAGGGTATATCTTTCAAACATACATACATATATATATATATATTGTCGGGGTATGTATCTGTACAAGAGGCACCGACAGAATTTCTTTGAACAAACAGACATGACAAACATATTAATTTTAGAACAGGCTAAAATTTGGAAGACAAACTGCAACATGATGACAAAAGTACGGAACATTTACCGTGCAAACAGATGATAGAGATGTCCAGCAAGAAAATGACCCCTATTGGCTTTCAAATGATTTGAAGATGGGTATCAAAATTATCCCTGACTTTCAGATTGTTACATTATATTATACAAGTACTATGTCATATCATATTATGTTATACTATATTATATTGGAGGTGGCTTCAAACCACCCCAACTCAAGCTGCGATGCCTCTGTTGCTTCGTCGGAACCTTTGGCAACAACCTGGAGAGCTGCTGATGCGGTTGTGAGTTGTGAGGGCTTGTGAAGCAATTGGCCATATTCCATCATATTCCCCAAGAGTAAAAGGTCAAACGATAACTCAACTTTTGAACAAAATTGATGGTTTACAATGTGGGGCCCCTAGATAGCTAAGTTGGTTTATAACTCCAATGACTGGCAGGGTCGAACTGTTAATTTACTGGAGGGTAAATTGCTTCAGAGTTCAGACCTGCGGGTCAAACTGGAGGCTCAATTGGCCTGCATAATTGGTGATGTGTATGCTGATGGGAGTATCGGGGTCCCATGTCTTCTGCCTCGATCAACTATACAATGTGGGCCCCCCCCAGTGATGTTTGATGGTTTATAACCCCCATTAACGATAGTTATAAGTATCATAAACCAGAGTCAGAAGACCAGTTTCCACTATAAATGGGTGATTTTCAGGATCGAACTGTTAATTTACCAGAGGGTAATCCTCACATTTATGTCACAACTAAAACGGGGAAACAATCAAAAAGACCCAATAAAACCAACATGTCATCAAATCAGACGATCATCAAATCATCCTCCCCCTACCTTGGCATAAAACCAGCAACCCCGCATAATTTCAGTGTCCATGTCCTCCACCCAGGTTTCATCAAAAAGTTCATTGTTTTCGCCCAAATCAGAACATCATTTCCATATCTTGTCACTAAGTGGTCATTAGAACCAGGGTTACGACCTAAAAAAATGGAAAATCAACAGCCAATGTATGATATTTATGAAAGAATCCACGAAATTCGTGACTTCACACTACATTTCCAACCGTTATTTTCCCAAAAAACATCTGCCATCGCCCACCTCCAAGGCCTGTGCTGCGGCCGCCGCCGCGGCCGCCACGCTGAGCGTCCGCACGTGGGTCGCCACCGCAGCGACGGCGGGAAGCAGCACGGTGTCCAGGACAGCGAGGGAGGCGTGGGCTAAGCGCTGGAGGTGTTTCCTTGAAACCATGGGGGAAGCCGGAGAAACCATGGTGAAAAATAAGAAAATTGGATGAGGCACCAAAAACTGGGGAATTTAGGTCATTTTGAAATTCGATTTAGAGAGATTTGATGGAATTTAATGGGATGACAACTCAATGGAATGTCGGATGATATAGGGATTTAGTAGGGATTTAAAAACTGATAGGATAATAGTGGGATTTAATGGGATATAACTGAATAATTGTAACTGAAATTGACTGAATGTATATAACTTATAACAAACTCAGTTGATCCTTTGGGATGCAGTTGGGGTGAAAAACATCGTGATTTCACCCTCAAAAATGTGGGGTTTTAAGTTTCAAACGGTCTTCAATCTCTGATGGTTAATGAATGTTGTTGTTTTTTTGGGGGGAAGGTGAGTTACATTGGTAGATTTTACCATCACATGGAGGACTGGTCACCAGCATTTTGTGAGGGGATGTAGTTGATACATGAATTGTATAAGGTTTTCTGATGGTTTACTTGTCAAAGACATGGGGGGTATGATATGATTGATGAACTGAAAGCACGACGGTTGTCACAGGTTGTCTTGCCACGGTGGATGGCAAACTACCTGGTTTGTTGGTGATTGTTGCAACCCCCATCGAGTTGGGATATGGAGACCTACAGCGATCTATGGCAATGGACCTAGGGAAATTGGCATGTTTCATGGCTTGGGAAAGAACTGATGACACTTTGACATGCAACTCATTCAGTATGGTCCAAGTGTATACAACACGTTTTTTTGGTTCAAGTCTGATCCAAGTATGATGATCAAAAACATCTAGCTATAGACTACACATGAAAATCCTATGTTTGATGCCGCCCTTACATGAAAAGTAAAATTCCTTCGTCAGGGGTTGAAATTCCACCCTTTCCACCAACAAATCATCTGTTTGGACTAGTCTTCTTAGGATCTCAGGATCTTTTCCCGGCGCTTTCCATCCCATCCCCAGTGACCAGGTCTCGGCGCCGCATCCTGGGAGGCCCCGGTGACCAACAGCGCCAACATGCGCGCCATCCGCAAGTTGATGGAATCCGCCAAGGGTCGAAGGGGGCTGCCAGCGTCCACGTGGATGGGCCACTCTTGGCGACCTGGTCGGCAGGCCGTTGAAGGCATGGAAACAGCGGCGCAGCTGGTAGCCACCAATAAAGGGTCTGGCTGCAAAATGCGGGACAGAAAGCGACTGAAAAAATGGGTGAGGTGGAACTTTCTAAAGGCACAAAAATGGTGGTTGGAGAAATGAACATGGGGGGTTGAACCCACACAAGAAAGGCTGAAACCACTGAAATAGGGGGCAGATTGCTTTGAATAGGAAGCAGGATCAAAATGGATCAAAGGCGTGTTTTCTCTTTAATGCAAACAGGATCAAATTAGCTGATAGCTGGACTGTATCCTGTCAGATCTCCTAGTTTTGTTTTTAATACCTCATCCCAGCCACAAGGGCGAACCCATGCCATGTCTCCCACAATCCCTGACGAGTCACGGACGATTCCGCTGAGTGTCGCTACTTGAGAAGCAGAAGGCCGGCTGTCACCTGACCCTGCCAGCACCTCAATCCTTGGTGGAGAAAGGGACACCAAGGGAGTTTGGGTCACATCCCAAGGGGTTGGCTGTGAGTTTTCTGCCGCTGGTGGGTTTAATAAACATGAGATCGATAAAAAATAACAAATTACTTTACTTCGTGTGATCCCCACCATGACATTTATACATGTTCTTACTGGCACATCTTCTGGCATTCTATCTGACATATCTTCTGACATTCTATTTGGCATTCTATCTGGCATATCTTCTGGCATATCTTCTGGCATTCTATCTGACATATCTTCTGCATTTGGCATCTATCTGGCATATCTTCTGGCATATCTTCTGGCATTCTATCTGACATATCTTCTGGCATATATCTGACATATCTTCTGGCATTCTTCTGGCATTTCTTCTGGCATTCTATCTGGCATATCTTCTGGCATTCTATCTGGCAAATCTTCTGGCATTCTATCTGGCATTCTATCTGGCATATCTTCTGGCATATTATCTGGCATTCTATCTGGCATATCTTCTGGCATATATTCTGACATATCTTCTGGCATATCTTCTGGCATATCTATCTGGCATTCTATCTGGCATATCTTCTGGCATATATTCTGATATATCTTCTGGCATTCTATCTGACATATCTTCTGGCATATATTCTGACATATCTTCTGGCATATCTTCTGGCATATCTTCTGGCATATCTATCTGGCATATCTTCTGGCATTCTATCTGGCAAATCTTCTGGCATTCTATCTGGCATATCTTCTGGCATTCTATCTGACATATCTTCTGGCATATTTTCTGGCATTCTACCTGGCAAATCTTCTGGCACTCTATCTGACATTTTATCTTTGTACACGAGGTCCGGCAGGGAACACTTGGCGTGGATACTCGCGGTTGAGGTCCGGCAGGGAACACTGGGCGTGGATGGTCGTGGTTGAGGTCCGGCAGGGAACACTGGGCGTGGCTGGTCGTGGCTGAGGTCCGGCAGGGAACACTGGGCGTGGATGGTCGTGGTTGAGGTCCGGCAGAGAACACTGTGGATCGCGGGTCGCAGTTGGACGAGGACGACGAGGACGACGAGGACGACGAGGACGACAAGGAGGACGAGGAGGAGGAGGAGAGGAGGACGAGGCAGGAGGAGGCGGAGGAGGAGGAGGAGCAGGAGGAGGAGGAGGAGGCAACTGACATAAAATCTAACAACCCTCACCTGGCAGGTGGGGAATAAATATTGTTCCCCCTCAAAGTTGCATGTTTAATCAATGTTGGGGTTCCGTGGTGCACTTCACAGAGATGATATCCCAATCTCATCAAATCTCAGTGAATCCCAGACGTCCGAGCTTCAGTGCCTGTTCCAAGACGGCCGCCACCCTCAGTCGCATCCATCCCGCTTTGGCACCGCTCCCCTTGGCATCGCCACGTGGCATGTCGCCCGCCTCGTACGTGGCGGCGGTTTCTGCTGGGCAGGTTCTCATCACCCCGAAAATATCCACAGAGAATCCTTATCCATGGGGATTTCATGGGAATATCATGTGAATATCAGGGGAATATCATGAGTTCATGATGTGAATATCATGAGTTCATGGTTTTTTTTCATGGTGGTCAAACAACCATGGGGATAAAATCGATGCCATGGATGCCCATCCCCACATGCGGCTCTGGCGCCTGCATCCAGGCCCTCAGGCAGAAGTCCCAAATTTCGTTGTCCGCCTGCAACGCAAGCAACGCAGGCAAGCGATGGGAAAAAGTGAAACCATCATCGTAGATAGTCATTGACTATCTATTTGTACAGGACAAAACTGAAAACACTGATAAAAAATAGTAACCACACACACAAAAGAACACACACACACATGACATATACATATATATATATATTTACATATGATATAATATATACATATATGTATGTAAAGATTCATTTATATATATATATATAACTATAATAATATAGTTGGGAAACTCAATTCCTAGCTCCGGCTCCCAATGGCCCCACCTCAGAATCTCTGGAGACACTGGTCCTTGGGGCAACTTGCGTTGCAAAGAAGCTCCACTTGTGGAGGGGAAAGCCATCAGTTGTAAGGGCCTTTATAATTTTATATGACCTTTTATAGATCTTTATATGATTTACCCTCTGGTAAACTAACATAACTATGGAAAACAATCATTTTTAATGGGAAAACTCACTATAAATGGTCATTTTCCATAGCTATGTTAGTTTACCAGAGGGTATCTGGCACCAAGATGGGAAACAATCCTGATGGGTTTTAAGATTTTGGAAACCAATGATCTAAATAGATCTTTGAAAATTAAATGATTCATCTGGCACCAGAGTAAACCTACTGATATTTTTTCCCAAGTAGAGGGTACCAATCTTATAGGAGTTTGTGCAAAACCAGTGTTATGTCCTCCCCGCAGAAGCGATGTTTTTGGTACTGGTCAGTACTTGGCAGTACGGGTTTAACACGTACAAATCGAACAGAGATTTCCAAGACATTCCTACAACTGCCGTGGTTTTAGGGTCCTACATTGCAGGCACGAATTGATTGAATGATTTGGCAATCGTAGGCCAGCACATGTGTTTGCACAATAACCAAACAGATTTGCTTAATTCCACCAAAAAAAACCTATCGGTATCGGTATCACCGAGTTTTCATGATTAAATTCGGTGAAAATTGTCATGTCGCTAAAGACCATGTGTTGCCTGTTTCTTCTTCAATATCCCAAAGCATCTAGGAACAATTAAGGTCAAAACTTCCTAACCCGAAGACATTGGGCTATTTTGTGGCACTTCCTGCAAGACCATCATTCATGGTGGGCCATTAATGTGGCCAGGTTGCCAAGAATCAGTTCAAATTGATATCCATTGCTTTCCATAGATCTCCTAGCTGATATATTTTTTCTAGTTGATTTGGCCAACCAGTTCCCAATCAATACAAACAGTTAATCAATCCCTTCCTCCATTCATATTCAACACCCCACAGAAACCACAGTGAAAATGGTATCACATACTGGGGCCGTATTTAATATTGGGGGGATGCAAATTATTCCATATCATCACATATTAGATATCCCATATGATGCCCATATGTTCTCATTTATATGTCATGTCCCATAGATTTGGTTCATTTTCATTTCATTTCAGCATAGTTTAATATTCAAGTTTTCTCACAGTTATACCCAATTTTCTGTCATCCCAGTCCATCCTTTCGCCATGCCAATTTCGCCTAACCCTTTCTGTCGAAACCCTTTGTAAAGGTTGGTTGAGAATGGGATTTCCCATGAAAATTGATTGTGATGTTCCAAACGTTCTGCATGATATTGATTCGTAAAGCTAAATCCGATTTATACCAGTTATACATGGTTATACATGGTTTATCATTCCATAAATGGCGTTCTAACTTACTTAAAACTGGTAGCGGGCCAAAACTGTAGATTTTAGTAGTAGAATCCCCTTTAATCAGTCCTCATATCTTGGGATAATTCCCTATAATCACTAGTATAACTAGTACAATATACTATACTATACTATACTATACTTTACTATACTATACTATACTAGTATAACCGCCCATAATCCCACATAGTGATTGTAAAATACGCCAAAAATGCCCGAATTGGGGAAAATAGGGGGTTATACTAGTGACTATAATAGTGATTATCCCAATAGGGAAAAAATGATATTCCCTTAATCCCATATAGTGATTATAGTTATAATAGTGATTATCCCATACTCCCATATAATTAGTTGTAAAATACAGGTAAAATGCCCTATAATCACGTCCTCTACGGGATAACCATAGTGATTATCCCAATAGGAAAATTGATTATCCCAATAATAATTATTCCATAAAATTGATTATCCCATAATCTCTGTTTCACATCATAGTGATTATAGTGATTGTAGTGATTATAGTGATTATAGTGATTATCCCAAAAAACAATGGTTACCATAGTGATTATCCCAATAGGAAAATTGATTATCCCAATAATAAATATTCCACAACATTGATTATCCCAAAATCCCTGTTTCACCTCATAGTGATTATTATAGTGATTATAATGATTATCCCCAAAAACAATGATTACCATAGTGATTATCCCAATAGGAAAATAATGGAAAATATATACCCTCTGGTAATTTGACATAGCTATTATATATAGTGACGGACATATACTTAGAACATCAAATTTTTCCAAAATTTCGGAACCTTTTCTTAGAACATCAAAACAACTACACTTAGAACATCAGAAATGTTCTAAGTACGCACTTAGAACATCAGAAAAACAGATACTTAGAACATGTGGGTTTCCTACAGCGGGTAGTCAAAAAGCATAGGTTTCAATAATAAAATGAGCTAAAATGAATTATGTGTAATTTTGAATGTTTTGGAGATGCCTCATTATTGGTTCCCCACTGGGATGTTCTAAGTATAGCTTGGAAATGTTCTAAGTATAGGTTTTGGGTATGTTCTAACGACTTAATACTTAGAACATCCCCGCTGTGACGATTTTCAGTTTTTTTTCCAAATGATGTTCTAAGTATTTGTCCGTCGCTATATGGTGATTTATAGTGGATTTTCCCATTGAAAATTGTGATTCTCCATAAGTTATGTTAGTTTACCAGAGGGTAAATGTGATTATCCTCGCGTCGCCAAGCCTCACTTTCTTCAGCTTCCCCTCCAAGACATCCTGCAGAGACAGCTGCGACACCTCGCCATCCTGCCGGTTTTCCGTGGTGGAAATTCCAGCGAAGCACCGTTGTTTTCAACGAAAACTGGGATGAACCATGCTTTAACCAGGAACAAAATATGGAAAAAATGGGTTTTACATCATTTAACACATGAAAAATCTGGTTTTAACATTCTTTAACATGATGTAGTCAATGAAAAAGAGGTCACAATTGGGATTTAACATGATTTCAGCATTAAGAATTGTGTCTCAAAGCTGCTGAAAACTATGAGCGTCAATTTGGGGCCATCACCCACCGTAATCTAACCTGTAAGTTTATTTTGTTTCTCCATTTGTAAGGGTCTTATCAAATATTAATCAAAGGTGGTGTGAAAACATGTTTGAAACAATCAGCCAGCATGAGTACCCAGCCAGTAAACATAGGGAACTTGTGAGCAAAACAAACATGCTTCAAACCAGTCACCAAACCTTCTGGCATATTACTAGCAAAAGAAGGGATGGAAACAACGCAAAATAGAGTGATTCAACCAACACAAATAAGGATACAGCAAAGAAACCTGAAGGATTTTTGCAGCAAAAAGGTGCGTGTAAGGACTCAACAAGAGGCCAAGCCTTTTTTTTCACCCAAACATGGGAATTTCACCAACACGCGTGGGACTTTGACTCCCAGAGGTGGATGGATTTTCCAGCCTCATCGGCGGCCACGGTCTGGGTGGAGAGCAACTGTAGCAAACAGGGCAGCACTAACTCCTTGGCTGCTGGAGATTTCTCCCGGCCCACTGGAAATGGAAAGCGTGATGGGGCAAGATGACTCATGGGGATGGGTAAAATGTGATAGATATATTATGTATATATAATATATATATATATAGCATATGAATATGGTAAAACATGCCAAAAAATCACTCACTCCAAAGAAGCTGAAATAAATAATCCAGTGACGAAAGATGTGCTAACTTCATGGTGTATCCCACCCTTCAAAAATCACGTATCCAGCAAACCCACCTTTCCAGACACCGGCATCCGATTCTCTACGACAAAATGGCCCCCTGCGTCATCTTTTCCGCCCAGTGTAAGGCAAGTCTTACCCGGCCTGGTAAACATACAAAAAGCTATTGAAAATGGCCCAGTCGAAATAGTTGATTCACCCATTAATAGCATGGTGATTTTCCATAGTTATGTAAACGTTTACCAGAAGGTAAATTGTTCTACTAAGACTTGCTATTTGGTTGCTGAAAAGTGCATATCTGTCCATAAAAAAATACCGCTTGAGTTTTGTTTGAGAACGTGAGAACCGGTAGTTCCAAAAAGGCTTTTCATCATCATTTGTCCCAGTAAAATTGTACTTTAATTTTTTAAGTATCCGAAACCGCCACAATGTTGGACAAACATTCATGTCCATTGGGGATTTTGCTGGGCAAATTAGTTCAATGAGCACTTCCTAAACTGGGCTGGGAATACTCTTCAGGCCACGTTTCAGGCCAGCACAAATTATGGGAAATCCCCGAAAAAAAAAACTCGGTGGATTTTGCAGCGAACCATGGAGCTGATTGCCAGAGGGTATTGAGATGTATTGAGGATTGAGGATGATCATGACCTTGGAATCCCGTTCTATTTTATATATGTATGTAGTTTATATAGTTGATTCTCCTAGCTCTAAACCTCCATGGTTAGGTCGGGAAATCCGATGTCATCATCATCCCATTAAATCAAGACAAAAATCCCAACATAATGAATATTACGTATAATTTATACAGTGGTTATAGTGGGATTTATATTTATAGTGGGGAATATAACTTAATATAACTATGGTTTATTGGGAATTATGGGATTATAGTGGGAATTATCATTATTCTCCCATATTCTTATCCCAAAATCCATCATGATGTCGACCGAGACGCCACATGGGAATGCAGCTGGCACAAGGTACTCACCAAGCGACCAGCCTCGCCTCGCAAAGGCTGGGGACTCTACTTATAGATGCTGCCTGTTGTTTTTTAAACAAGGTTTATAAATAGATAATTCCTTTTCAAATAAGTGGTTTGTAAATAGAGGAGTATAACTTGACTATAACTATAACTGATTTTTATAAATAGATAATTCCTTTTCAAATCAGTGGTTTGTAAATCTTGTAAATAGAATAGTATAACTATGTAACTATAACTGACTAAACAATGGATCATAAAAAATGTACTATAAATGATTATAGGATTATATGTGTAACATGTTATAACCAATTTTCTAACAAGTTATATAACTAATCCCAGATCCCAGGGCCCGTCTAAGTAGGCGTCAAGGCAGGGGTTATAAATTGTGGGCCTTGTGGAACTTGTGGGGTTTAAAACACCCTGCAAGAATTCCAGAGACTAAACATATCTTGATGATTGTCTGAAATGCTTTAAATAGCATCAAATCCCATTAAGCCACCATTTTTGTTAGTTAAGCCGTTAAGCCCCCATTTTCACTTCCATGAAATCACCATGAAATTGCACCGTTTTTTCCTCACCATCCCATCCATCCCATCCTCCATGGTCTCATCCTAGCCGTCCTAGCCTTGTGTGAGGACCTGCTTGCTGCCCAAGCGTGAGAGGTACAGGTCCAGCAGTTTCAAGCCATCTTCACGCACCTCACCACCTTGCGCTGAGGCCCGGCAGGGGAGGAGTGAGTGTTGTTTTTGTTGGCCACAAAAACTGGGGCCGCCCGTTTTTCCAGAATCACCACGAAAACTGGGGAGAATAAAGGACAGTTGGCCAAAATGCAACATTTAGCTTCCAAAACTTAGGATTTGGATGGATTTAGGATTGCAACTTGCAACAAAAACCGAAATCGAAATCCCCAAACTCTCCCATATTAACCACTCCAAGAAATCAGAAAAGCACCTTTGTGAAGAATGGATTTCTTTGGAAAGATAAGCGACAAAAATTGGAACAGAATCAACACACATAAAATCATGATACAATTTATAGCGATTTCACCACGCAAAAAAAAACATGGTGACCTAATCAGCACACACTTGACAACCATGTATATATGTATGTATATATAGATATATCTATATATAATTCCCTTTGTATTGCCGGTGGGTATTCCACTCTCCTACCATTCAGCTAGGTATTCATCTGTAGCTTCACCATTGCACATCAACCAGTCAAATCGTGCTGTAAACCCTCGAGTAAACTGCCGGGGTTCCTACCAACAATTGCCATTTAGTTCGATGATTTAATATGACATGATTTACCTACTAAAAATGGGGATTGTTGATAGGCATGTGGAATTCGCGAAGGATAAATCATCTTTTGTTGGTAAGCCCTCTGTAGTTCTGAAAGTGTCTGGTTTGTTCCGAACCAGTTCACCTACCTGGGGGTGCATCCCAGTCATAGTTTGTAGGCACTAAGTAATCACCATATAGACATGTGTGTTTTCGTTTTGAAATTCCAGCTGGGTACTAAGCTATTCCAAAATATATGGGGGAAAAATCCATGGAATATTCCCAGTTATACGAATGGTTCACCACTTGCCATCCCACGTCGGCAAGTCGGCCATCACAAAGGGGTCGAATCCATCAATGGCAAATCGCCGGATCTGACGGAAAGTTATAACCACAAGTTTCCACCCTGTATATTGTTCACCTAGACTGTTTACCAACTTAACTTAAATGAACTATGACCAACTACAAATTCAGAATTTAATAACTCACCATCTTTTATTGGTGAAAATTCCCAATGTTCTATATTTCTGGGTAAATTATAATATTTCACTAACTTGAATCTTGCGGCCATTTGGGGATGATTTCCCTTACTAACCATGATTCCAGTGAGGGAGAACAGTGAGGTCGTTATAATTTACCCAGATATTTTGCCAGCGTTCCCATGTTTGGCTCCTCTGGTCGCCCAGGTCGCAGCCAAGGCGCTGACGTGGGAAATGGCCCCCCGCACCTGTAACGCCAAGGTGGCACCAAAGGCCGACAGCGCGGCCGGGGGCATCTGGTCCAAGATGAAGGCCTCGGCACGGCAGCGCCGGCAGCGCTGTATCCAGTGGGGGGATGGTTGGGAAATGGATGGAGATGGCTAGCGGCTTAGTGTAATATGTGGAAAATATATGTGGAAATGCCAACTATTAGAAAAAACGATACGTGATATAAGCTGGGACATAGTTGGCTACTAAGATATTGTTTACCAACCTTTTCTTTGCAAACTAAGTATCAGTTAAACATGATGATATGATATGGTTGGTTTATATCACTAGATACAACTAGCTTAGCGAAGTATGGGTACTAAATATGAGGAACTTGAAAAACAAGTGTGAACATGAGTATGGTATAGCTTAATTAAGTCATGAGTAACTATTACAACGAATGAACAAATCATCGAAGGAAGTTTAGAAGCTAAACTTCCGACAATATGGACAGTTGAAACGCAGAGCAGGGAAGAGGCAGAGAGAAGAGAAAAGATCAGAAGAAAGAAGAGGTAGATGCGCGAAAAGATAGGAAAGTCGCGATTCACTGTGTTTTTCCAATGATTTGAGGCTCCGGAGGGTCGAAAAGTAGGCTCGCTAAAGCGGCGGGTGCGGAGCCAGCTGGCCAGATGAGACATGAAAAAGTGCACGCCGTTGTGGCACGAAGCACATTTTCAAGTCAAAATGGACAAAACACTAGAGGAGCGGACCACTTTTGGAAGTTGAGATGTCGAAAAAGTGCACGCCGTTGTGGCGCGAAGCACATTTTGAAGTCAAAATGTGCAAAACACACCAATGTCGGACCACTTTTGGAAGTTCCGATGTCGAAAAAGTGCACGCCGTTGTGGCGCGAAGCACATTTCCAAGTCAAAATGTTAAAAACACTAGGGGTCTCGGACCACTTTTGGAGGTTCAGATGTCGAAAAAGTGTCGAAAAAGTGCACGCCGTTGTGGCGCGAAGCACATTTCGAAGTCAAATGTGTAAAAAACTGAGGGTTTTGAGCCTTTTTTGAGGTGCAGATGTCGAAAAAGTAGACACTGATTAACTTAACTAACTTGACTAACTTAACTAACTTCACTAACTTAACTACCCTAACTTCGACGACAACAGCAACAGCAACAGCAACAGCAACAACAGCAACAACAACAACAACAACAACAACACCAACAACACCAACAACACCAACCACAACAACTACAACTACAACCACTACAACTACAACAACTACACAACAACTACAACTACAACTAGAACTACAACTACAACAACTACAACAACAACAGCAACAACAACAACAACAGCAACAACAACTACAACTACAACTACAACTACACAACAACTACAACTAGAACTACAACTACAACAACTACAGCTACAACAACAACAACAACAACAACAACTACAACTACAACTACAACTACAACTACAACAACAACAGCAACAACAACAACAACAACAACTACAACTACAACAACAGCAACAACAACAACAACTACTACTACTACTACTACACAACACAACAACTACAGCTACAACTACAGGTACAACTACAACAACAACTACTACAACAACTACAACTACAACTACAAAACAACTACAGCTACAACTATATGACTGCAACTACACTACACTAATTACATTACACCACAACTACAACTCCACTACGCTACAACTACAACTACAGTTGCAGTACATCACACTACATCCAGCAGTTGTGGGTGAGGTGACCGCTGCAACCATTGCAACCATTCCAGCAAACACAACTCCAACCACCTTTCGGTCAATCAGTGGATTCGCTCTGCCATCCGTGATTCACAACAACCAACGTCTCCTATAGGTTTCCTATTCTGAAACTTCCGCCACCGCCTTGTGCGGTACTACTGGTAAAAATTGAATGAGGAGCGGAACGAACAATCACCATGGTTCATGATTATAGCAATGATATTTACAAACAGACAATGATAGCCGGAGTCCGGTGTAGCAACAATTCGAGATGGACTGCTGCAACAAAAATGACATGTTTAGCTGGTTAGGCTGGCAGAACTCAACTGAAAGCAACCCATCTAATGGTGACCCAGTTGCAATATGGTGAGCGGAATTCCTGGGAATATTTCATGGAATGTGGCAAACATTAAGCCATAGAACATTCCCGGTTAATTGCCAGAAATGACTGTTGCAGATTTACCTGTTGTTTTGCCACATTACCTAAACTGCTTGGTGGTTTCAACCCCTCTGAAAAATATGAGTTCGTCAATGGATGTCATATATGCCATGGACAATAAAATTCATGTTCCAAACCACCAACCAGCTAATCAAAGGGCGTCTAAGATTTACCATCCGGAAATCAAACATGGCAATGCAACATACTCCGTGGCCGTAGATTTTCCAGACATTTGATTCCAGCCGGGCGTTTCTTTTCCAATCATCCCGTTTTCATATCCCATTAGTGCATGAAAAACTATAGATATACTTACCATAACTGGTTGGTGGTTGACCTACCCCTGTGAAAAATGATGGACTTCGTCAGTTGGGATGATGATTATTCCCAATGCCAATATATGGAAAAAATGTTCCAAACCACCAACCAGATAACCATAATTAACCATTAGAAACTATCTATCCATCTATCTATGGCTATGGTCTTTGTACTATGTCCACATCAGATCACCATTTTTTTCCGATTCAATCCTTCCACTGCCAGTTGGAAATCATTCCAACAAAGGACCGGATATGGTATACTATGGTATAACATGGTATAATATGATAAAATATGGTGTAATATGGTGTAACAATGCATAATATGGCAGGATAATGTATAAGATGATTGCAATGTTATTTATCATATCTATATGTAATTCTCGCTGAACCTTCACATATGAAACCGACAACCCGCAACCAACTCACCCGGCGGAGCTTTTTTGTGACTGCAACAGATCACAGGTCATGATGACCCAGGGCCTTGACACTTTCTTCAGGTTTGGAGAGTGTCAGTTGCGAGAGCTTCTGGAGGAAAATCCCGGAATCATGCAAACCTGGGACGATGCGAGGCTGGCAATTGAACATAGCTATTGAACATTACCACGTATAGTTGATTTACATAATAAAAATTGTGATTTTCTATACTAGAAACTGTTAGTTTACCAAACGGTACCTGCCTTTTTTAATCATCAACTCAAAAACACTGCAGCAACTGAGCCGGGAGCTGGTGGAATTTGGGCTTATCAAGCAAGGTTGTACTTTGTTGTACTTAATACCGGACACCGGAAGAGTATGCTGTGATCATGACTTGGCTTACTGGGATGCAGAAATGACCCAGCAACCAAATTCGACCATAAAGAACACACTGCACTTTAAGATGAAAACCAATCAGGAACAGAATCTGGCTAGTGGTCGGGAAACTCAATTTGGAACTCCAACTGGTTTTCAACGATTTTTTGGGGGGAATATGCAGGCAACCACATATGTTTTACGGTTCCCCATAATGCACCACCCCATCCATTCACCCCAAAAATTGCCCAGCAACTCTTGTCCAACTTCACCTTGGTCTCCTTCAAGTGGCTTTCCGCCTTCGACAGCTTCTCCTGGTAGCTTTGCATCGATTCCAAGGTCTTCTGCAACACCTGCTGTTGCGATAGCAGGGCCTTGCGTCGCTTCATGCCATCCTGCAAACCTCGTGGCGGATTCAGGGACTCTTGGGAGACATCAACGAGGTAAGTAAACTCACAAGTTTGGGATAGATATGATATATGCATATATTGTATATATATATATATGTGTGTGTGTGTTATATATCCATATATATATATATTATAGTCTATTATATTAATATAATTCCTCTATATAGGATATATAATCATTGATTATGGTCATTGATTTGAAGGCAAGTGTGAGACATCCACTTACTCAAGAGAAGACCCATTCAGAACAGTGAGTTTTCCCAGTGATTTCTGGCATTTTGGGCTCTCAAACCAAGGCGCTGCTCATGAAAAGGCCCTTCAAATGCTTGGAGCTCGCCTCGCCTTGCTGCTTCATGTCCTTCACACCTGGCGGGCTCCGGCGGACTCCGGCGGACTCTGGCGGCCATGGCGGGAGTTGCTCGTCCGAAAACGTGGCGAAGCCGAGCCATGAAGAAATGATGATTTGATACAGATACCACATCAAATTCCATGAATTATCCCAATTAGGATGAGATCATCTCAAGAAAACAGCACAACACTTGGTATGAACCGAAACTTTTGGTTCAATTTTCCACTAATATTTCCCATATTTCCCAACAACTTTCGCCACACCTTCGGCCAGCACGTTCAGCAGGCTCTCGGGCTCCGGTTCCTCGCGGAGCTCCAGGAACGACAACGCGGAGCCGTGGCCGTCCTCGGCGCTTCCGGCGTCGGCAACGCCGTCGGCGGCGGAGATGGCCGTCGTGGCGCGTTGCTCCGCCAGGGTCACGAAGGAGTCGACCTTTTGCTTCTCTTTGGCCTGGTGGAAATGGTGGAAATGGTGGAAATGCTGGGATGGAGATTCCATGGACATCAACATGATACATAGTTACTATTACTGACTGGGATACGGGATAATTAATGATTTAATAATTTATTTAATGATACAACTATAGTAACTATATTTAGATGATGTTAGATGAGTTTATACATCTATTGGTAGCTATAGAACTGATAGGAGGTCAGGTCACTGAGCAATCGACCAATGATGGGTGTGTCTAAACCTGTGATGCCAACCCCGAATTGACATGAATTCGGAAGATTATCCCCCTTTAAAGTGACTTCTCATATGTTTCTAGAAACCATTTATTGATCCGGGGTTGACGTTGTAAGGGGTCAATCCCACATGTAAAACATCTTACAGTTACTAGACAGTTCTGAGTGATTGTATACCCATCGCCTAGTTGGTTAAGCCAGGCAGTGGAAAAGTCAGTGCCCATTCCTGGTGGATTTCCGATGGAGAAACAAACCCAATGACCTTCAACATCTGTTAAACTGACATTGTGTAAGGTCACTGTAAGGTCATGAAGGATCTGAAAATATGGTCATTAAATCATTAAGGTCAGGATCTGGTAATGATCTGGTTGAAATGGTTACCCTCTGCTTATTTAACATAGCCATGCAACATCACCATTTTTAATAGGTAAACAACCTATTAAATGGGCCATTTTCCCTGGCTATGTTAAATAACCAGAGGGTATACCATTGGCTTACACGTCTTAACCAAATGATAAAACCATGGCCTCACCAGATGAGTGAGGCCATTGAAATGGTCACCATTCTTCACTTATTGATTCACGAAGTCAGAATTATAATATGACCATAATAATAATAGTAATAATAAATATGGCAATAATAGTAGTATATATATATTTATGACCAATATAATTAATTAATAATACGGTTAATACGCCATTAACCAGAATTATATATAAATAAACATATATGGTGAAATATATAACTTCATGGTGAATATAATTTAACGTGAATTATATATGGTGAATTATCATATGGCAATATTTCCCCGTGGTAAACTGTCACATAACTATGGAAAAACACCATTTTCAATGGTTAAATTACCGGAGGACAACCATTAACCAATATATATATATAAATAACATCCCCCTTGCAATTCGGCCTCCGACCCTGACCCCTGAATCTTTAAGGGACCACTGGTAGCCTCTTAAAGAATGCGAACCAGGGCAAATTTCAGCCTTAAAGAATCTAACCCCAATGAACCAAGATTGCAACACAGTAGCCAGGTATGTCCCTTTAAAAAATTGGAGACCCAAGTTGCACACCAAGGGGTGCCCCTTTAAAGAATTGGATACCCAAGTTGAAGTCAAGCATGAAATGTTCTGAATATTTTTAAGATTTTGGATAGAAATTTCATTTTTCAACATATTTTGACAAAAAAAAATCGAAAAAAAAAACTTTCAAAATTTCATTCCAATACCTTGAGAATGACCCACTGAATGTTTTAAACCTCATTGTGGATTGAATTTATGGATAGAAATCTCATTTTTCAACATATTTTGACAAAAAAAATCGAAAAAAAAACTTTCAAAATTTCATTCCAATACCTTGAGAATGACCCAAAACATACCAAAAAAATCCAAAAAACAGTTCCTAGAATCTTCCTAGGAAGGCCTCTTAAAGATAGGAACCGTCAAACAAAGGATTTTTAAAAAATACAGTTTTTTAAAGACATCATGTCCTGAACTCTTTAGGCTAAATTCCCAGGAGGATCCAAGGAAGGCCTCTTAAAGAATAGGAGACCGTCAAACAACAGGATTTCCTTAAAAAATAGAACTGTTTTTTTTTGCCGGCCAGGTATGTCCCTTAAAAAATACAGTTTTTTAAAGACATCATGTCCTGAACTCTTTAGGCTAAATTCCCAGGAGGATCCAAGGAAGGCCTCTTAAAGAATAGGAGACCGTCAAACAACAGGATTTCCTTAAAAAATAGAACTGTTTTTTTTGGCCGGCCAGGTATGTCCCTTAAAAAATACAGTTTTTTAAAGACATCATGTCCTGAACTCTTTAGGCTAAATTCCCAGGAGGATCCAAGGAAGGCCTCTTAAAGAATAGGAGACCGTCAAACAACAGGATTTCCTTAAAAAATAGAACTGTTTTTTTTGGCCGGCCAGGTATGTCCCTTAAAAAATGCAGTTTTTTAAAGACATCATGTCCTGAACTTTTTAAGCTAAATTCCCAGGAGGATTAAATAACAATATAATAACCATATCAATTAACCATATCAACCATATGTTTAATATGGTTACCATCCAGTAAATTCACATAGACCCTGGCATTCATCAGGGTTGGAAGACTAGTTTCCATTGAAAATTGGTGATTTTCCATAGCTATGTTAAATAACCAAATGGTAATTAACATATATTAACCATTAATATGGCCTCTTTGGCATCCTTCGCTTCTTGCTTCTCCTCTTGCTCTAAGACTTTCAGCTCGGACGCCTGACTTTCATCCTTGGCTGCTCGTCCATGTGGGGTCACAAGGAGATACCGAGAATGTCGTGACCATAAAAAAGTGGTGAACGTATGGAAAAATGATGTCTTATCTTTTGTTTGATGGAAAACATGATGATCAACCAGCTTTGGAGTTCTTCTTAGACAAACACCATATTTCAAATAATCTTAATGTACTGTACGCATATAAATCACATAAATCAGGACTTTTCACAAACCTGAAGCAAACCATAATTCAAGGTGAGTTAGTTGACAGGTTGCCGCAATCTGCGATGTATAGTATTGCGGCATCTCTACCAAAGCAACCCTTTGGGTCAAGCTTTGGGGCAAAATGATGGAATCCCCTGACCTTGACAACTACATAAGTGGATATAGGTTTGAAAACATGTGCACTTAAACGACATGCAGTGTAACATGCATGTATCATTGATTGATCATCATGGAGTAGATGAAATATGTTGCTGTTGAAGCAGATTTCAATTTCAGTAAGGATGGTGTTTAGTTATAAGTTAGTTTGTAAACCCATTAGCTATAATCACCCATAAACCCAACAATTACGAGTATTTCTCGAGTTGTCATTGGATGTTGTGAAAGTTTGTCAAACTCCTCGAGAATTTTCCAGCTTTCCAAGCAGCGGTGCTGTCGAGGGTTTCCGTCAAAAACTTGCTGGCCTCAAGGAGTTGCTCCTGGTTGACGCACGGGTTGAAGACTTGGTTACCCTCTGGTAAACATACAAAAAACTATGGAAAATCACCATTCTCAATGGGTAAATCCACGAACTAAATGGCCATGTTCAATAGCAAACTGTTAGTTTACCAGAGGGTAACTGTTGAGTTTATGGGGGATGAAGAGTTCATGGCTTTACCATCAATATGGCGTATGTAACAGTTTATAACTGTTGGATGGTAGTTTTCATGGGTTTACAAACTTATAACGTTTTGGGGGCCACATTGTAACTACCATTTTTTTTTTGGATGAACATCCATAGCCACACCAGCGAATAACCAGGTGATTGCAATACCAGGGGCAAAGAAAAAGGACAAGTCAAAGCAATTTCAAAATAACATGGTAATATTAGATGCTGTACCATGTTTGAATAATATATATATATATATATACAGTATAGATAATCAGATATAGATGCACAATGACACACACACACACGAGATTCAATGAGGCTCTATGCATGTGAATATGCCTAAGCATGAAACAAACACAAGTTAATATAATGTGGATGGGTCAAACATGTTGGGACCAAGAAAACATGGCAGCTGATATCGAAATGCGTGGCCTGAAAACATGATGAAACTGAGGAACGCTGTTTTTTCCTGTTTGCCAAAATTGGAAAAACATCTTCCATGCATTGGTGATTTTGTTTGCCAAAGTTGGAAGATGCCTTGCGACATGTTGCAAAAATTGAACGATATTTCCTATTAATCATATTGCCAACAATTGCAAAAATCTTGTTTCCCCCACTGCAATCTTCCAACACCCTCCTGGATACTCTTCATCTCTGTTCGTCGGACGCCAATGGCTTTCTTCAGCTGCTGTGAAGCGCTAAAGACTTCCTTCCACCCAGGGGGCTGAAATGGCTTGCCCTCTGATAATCTAACAGGTTGCTATGGAAAATTGTTTTTCTCCATATGATTTATCATATTTATCTTATCTTTATGAAAAATATGATGTTTCATATCTATTCATATCTATCTATATCTATGTTAGTTTACTGGATGACACACGGCCGCACAACTGGTAATGTTTCTATTTGACCACCCGCTTTTTCTGGGGGAAGACAAACACGTTTGAGCAATTCGCAAATTCGGGCTTGAGAGGCTTCTGTGAAAAGTCACCAGAAAACAGCAATAAACTACCTGGAATTACCATCCAGTATCACATGTTTGTCACGCACACGGCAAGCTACATCCAACGTTTGAAATACTGCAGTTGCAGTATTGTGGTTAAAACAATAATAAACCACCCCATTCTTGATGGTCTATACTACTATAGCACCCATAAAAATGGTGATGACTGGGGGATGGTTTATTATTGTTGTAACATGTTGTAACCACATTAACTAATCAACTTCCGGTGACATCTCCACCACAGCCAGGTCCTCATTCTTCTTCTTCAGGTGCATAATGGACTTGGCCAACTTCGCGTTCTCCTTACCTTGGTGGATTCACCGACTTCGGGGGGTACCCATTGACATGCAAAAAACAGCCGTAAACGGGGTTTATTCATCCAGGGTTGACATTAAAATATTCACATCCTCAACAAATCAAGGTTGCCCACCAGCTGATTCTTCTCCTCCTGTTCCTTCAGCTTCCGGTCGAAGATCTTCTTCTGTTTCTCCAGTCGGGCGGAGTTCTCCTGTAGCCGGAAGGTTGGCCCTACTAATACCATCGCGGGGGGAAATGGCTGTTAAATGGGGGGGGTACCATTTGAGTAGCAAATTAGGAGTTTTTCTCCGATCAATTAAGGCTATTGGGGTTTACAATCCAGGCATAACATGACACATTTGCACATGAAAGGTATCATGGTATCTGTATACATCTAGAAACATGCGTAAATGCATGCATGCACACATCTACGTATGCATGTGTATATATATATATACATAATATGATGTGATACAACTTATAATCGAATCTCTTCGCCTTAATACTAAACACCACCATAAACCATGGTTTAAGGGATGAAATCACATCTCTGGGACCAGATCCACGTTTCTTTTTGGAGAGAGAACAAAACATTAAAAAAAAACTGCAATACACAGGTCTGCCAATTAAAATGATTTCAACCATATTTATATCATATTCAAATAATATTATATCATCTTATATCATCTTGCATCATCTTATATTAGTATATTCTGTGCTCGGGAACCATTTTAGGGAGGAACCAAGCAAATCATTATCATCTATGTATACAATTGTATACAGAGTGTTGTCAAATATTATCCAATATATCACCCACATAAGATACATAAGATTCCCCGCAAGAGTTTTTGGACAAACAAAGTTGGCGCCCTTTATGCGGTTCAGCGGTTCCCAAAATCGGGGATTATAGTCCATTAATGTCCATTGTATATCCCATTATATTCCATTGTGCCAACCCCAGAAAGGAATAGAAAAGATGGAACAGTGTTTTCAGGATGTTATAGATGATATGTTCATCAGGCAAATCCCATAAAACTCCATTGTATTTCAGTAATATTCCATCAATATTCATGTCACTATACAATATTCCACTACAGTATGTGTTCCATTGTATTTCGGCAATATTCCATCTATATATGCCATTCATTCATATCCATGAAATCCCATATTCCATGCCCATTAATTCACATTAATATTCCCATTAATATTCCAGCAATGTTCCACACACACACACACTATATATATATATACACATAGGTAAATTATCATAATTCACTAACCTGAATCAATGCCATTTGGGGATGATTTCCCTTGATTTCCCTTATTAACCAGTGATCCCAGGCTTCGGTGGCAGGGTGTGGTCGTTATAATTTACATTAATTGGTTTCCCTAAAAAAAAATGATTCCAGGCTTCGGTTATTTGGGTTTGGTCGTGATGAAATTTACCCAGATTCCATTTGCGCCTTCTCCATCTTCAACATCTTCATCTCCAGCTCCTTAGCCCTGGAACTGATGCCCGACATGGTCTGATCCGCTGGGCTCATGATATCCTCCAGAGAGGGCAGCTCCGGGTAGCCGTCCTTTCCCACCTGGGCACCGTGGAAGGCTGGGTTATCACGGTTAAGTAAGTAGACTATGTAGGATTATGGTGGAGAATATGTGTAGAGTGTAGATGGTTAATGATTAGTATAGATCCATATAGGTTCTATACCAGCTTGCATATAATTATTAGATTAATAAACACGATTAATCATTATTGTGTTAGATGGGTTGTAATTGTGACCAACTTGCAACTTGCTGGCCCCTGTGTTCCCATGATTTTGGGGAGCACGAGACCTGGAAATTTCTAACGTTTTCGTTTTTTTTCGGTTCAGTGTCCCTTGGAATGCACACATGACATCTATGGCCAGCCACATTTTTGGCCTGTGGCACTACAGGCAGCTCCACTTTTGCTGGATCTGGCGGGACCAATTTGGACGTGAGTCCATGGGCGACGCCAATCAGCAGCGCCAGGGACTTCATTGCACCGGTGGCACCGGGGCGGTTCACTGAGCCAAAGGTGGTGCCGGTGCCCCAGCTGTTTCTGTTGAAAAAGTTACAGTAAGTTGGTGCAACTAGCCTCTGGTAATGACTAACAGGTTGCTATAATGAAAATGGCAAAATACTTGATTTTCCCAATAACAATAGTGATTTTCCATAGCAAACTGTTAGTTTACCAGAGGATAGTTCCAATAACGGGGGCTTAACCAACAAACAAAACTGGCCAAATCCCACCCCCGTGGGCACGCGCGTTTGACTCTCGGCAGCGTTTTGCGCCGAGCTACGGAGTTTCCGACATGAGAGAAATTTGGGGTGGAACATCGTTTCTGTTGACGATTGCCCTCTGGTAAACTAACATAACTATGGAAAATCACCATTTTTCATGGGAAAACTCACTATAAATGGGCATTTTCCATAGCTATGTTAGTTTGCCAAAACATGAATCTGGGTAAATCAAATTATAGTACCCCCTGGTAAACGTTTACATAACTATTGAAAATTGCCATAGAAATAGTGAATTTGTCCCATTCAAAATAGTGATTTTCCATAGTTTTTTGTATGTTTACCAAAGGGTAACTGACTTACTGGTGCTAAACGTAGGGAATGGATGGGAATGGGGGAATGGGATTATTATTGGTAGTGATTATGGGTACAATGTGAGGCCCCCCAGTTATAAGTTTGTTTATAAACCCCAGTAACTCTTGTTAGTAAGCTGATTAACATCCGTCACATCCCCCATTAATCCCATCCCACGCCCTTAGTGGGTCCGAATATGTAACAATACCACTAAATATCCCCTACGTACCCCTACTAAAATGTGGTTTCTGGGGGGTGTTTAATATTGCCAGGAAGGGATTGCCATGTTTTTTCTGGCAGTACCTCTGGTAATCAAATGTGGCAATGGAAAATCATCCATTTATATGGATGATTTTCCTATTAAATCCCATTAAGACCATGATTTTTATTGATGATTTCTCCAGGATTTGTCCATGATTTTCCATTGCCACCTTCGGCGGAAAGGTGACGACAAACCCTATCCACGCTGCCTGCAAGGACCTTTGGGCAGAGCGGACATCCGCACTGCCATCTGAAGCGGCTAAGGAAATGGAGTCCTCGGGGGCCGCCAACATGGAGGTGCTCAAACTGGGATTCCATTGATGGGGATATAACGGGTATATATATATATATACATAGCAACCCCCCACATAGAAACATAAATTCTGACCGGAATAGTGATCATGTATGTGTCTATCTATTGAGAATGATTTACCTTCATGGTAATTTGACAGTTTGTTTTTGTTAATATAGTTCGATGTTTGACCTACTAAACATGGTGACTTTCGATAGCTATGGCTATGCTATGTTAAATTACCAGAGTGTAACATGGAAATAAAATATCATGGGCATATGACATGCTTAATGAACAGCATCTAACATGGTTATCTAGTCAGCAAACATCGGGATATATTGTGTGTATATAACCAATGAAAAACCTGGTTGGCGGTTGCAACACATCATTCATGTTCCATGTTATCTCGGAGAATGATGATCATTATATGACAATTTTTGGAATGGGTTGCAACCACCAGTCATAATTTTCTGACGATTGAGGATCATTCCGAGGAAAATGATCTTGAATACTATGTGCTCAGGTCATATTTTCCACATTTTCTATCATATCGTAGGAGTTTCAAATATGGAAAATTCCTCAATATGGTGTGGTCCCATGTGGGCACTGCTAAAACATGTGGGATTGTGCGAAATTCCCCGGAATACCCTGGAAGAATGTACTTGAAGAACAAAAAGTAGAAAAATGGATTTACAGTTGTCAATAGCATTCAATAGCAATGTTTTGCGGCTTGAGTATTTCCATGAATTAATTATCAACCCTGAACAAGGGGAGGACATGATATAACCTGCGTATATCAAGAAAAATGCTAAAGGATATAGAGCCGGACTATGTAGATAAAATTCGCAGAAAACCGATGGCTAGAATAGAAATGAAGAACATGCCACATTGAGGCCTGCGAGATACCAAAAACTCAGTGGTAACCCGGTCACCAGTAATTAATTACTTCGATTCTCTGTGAGTGCAAACGCTGAGCCAAGAGTCCAAGATCTGCGACAAATTCACCTTAGATGCTGTCAATAAAAAATCACAGCTAAGCGTCGCCATTGGAAATCGCCCCTCCTGCAAAAATAATCAAACATCCATCACGCGTAAATGAAATAGATTAAGATAAGGGATAAGGACCACCAACCGGAAAAACAAACATATATTCCCTATAGGTTCCCCATTGCTGGTGGCGGTTTATTTCCCATTAGGAAAAAACAATCACCGACTAAACAAACCGGGGCGTGTCCTCAAGGACTTGAGACAACTTCCTGTCGAGACGTGTCCGTTTTGAGGACGTTCGAGGTCCCTGGTCCCTCATTTGGTTTAGTTGGATGCAGCATTCCAAAGAGGATACCCTCTGGTTATTTAACATAGCCATGGAAAATGGCCCATTTATAGATGGTTTACCTATTAAAAAAATGGTGATTTTCCATGGCTATGTTAAATAACCAGAGGGTAGTTGGATGCAGCATTCCAAAGAAGATAACCCCAAACAAAAATACGGAAAAGTGAAAAGCAAACAAAGCACAAACAACATGCAGAGCAAACGGTTCCAATAATTGTACTTTCAAGGCCATCGCCGTGATCATCGTCATCATCATTATCATCATCATCATCATCGTCGTCATCATCGTCGTCATCAGCATCGTCATCATCATCATCATCAGCATCATCACCATCACCAAGAACAACCATCATCATCACCATCATCATCATCATCATCATCGTCATCATCATCATCATCATCTTCCTCCTCCTCCTCATCATCATCATCATCGTCATCGTCATCATCATCATCATCATCATCAGTTGAAACAACATCATCAACAACCACATGATACATCATTATCTGGGTAACTTATAGTAATTCACTAACCTGAATTAAGGTTATTTGGGGATGATTTCCCTTATTAACCATGATTCCAGGGTTCGGTCGCAGTGAGGTCGTGATGAAATTTACCAGATCATTATTCTATGCCATTTCAATCAGCTGCACCATCTTCACCCGAGTCACGTTCAAGACGCCAGGGTGATCCCTGCACAGCTCCAGCAGACCCTTCAGCGCGTCTCGTCGCACTTTGGCGCTATGATGTTGGAGGTGGGCCAGCAACTCACCCAAGCCCAACCTGAGGCTTGGAACGGTGGCCATGATCCGTTGGACTTAAATTCTTGGACTCGCAAAAGGGGAAAAAACACCAAAATGTGAGGTCATTCTTTTTGTTATATATATATATATAGATATACAAGTATAAGTATCCCACCCCCAAAAAAATGAACATCGTAATGTCAAATAATATGAATTTGATGCGCAAAACTTGCGGACAGTTGACTGTTGGGCCTACCCCGTGGCAGCCCATGGCACCGAGCTTTTGGTGTCGAGTGCTTGGTACCCAAATAGGCCCAACAGTTCCACATGACAACCGAAGACACAAACAAACATACCCTCTGGTTATTTAACGCCATGGAAAATGGCCCGTAGAAATAGATGGTTCCTATTAACATCTATTAACCAGAATGGTCAATTTAACCAAAAAAAACATGTCTTGAGGTAGCAATCATCGACTCATCAACCATCACCGAGTGACTTCCGGTGCGTCACTTCTTCGCCCTTCTCTTCGAGGGCATTTTGCGCCGGCATCTGCACCTTCTTCACCTTGAAGTCGGTTTTCATCTCATTGGCTTTCCTGGCTCGGCTCAGGCTCAGGCACTGTCAGGGGGATCATCCGAACAGCATCCGAAGAAAAATGATGGAATCTGATGGAGGTATGAAACTCAACAATCGAATGGGATTTGATAGTGAGAATAGAATGGGGGTATGAAGTGGGGATATTAGGCAACAATTATACCATAAGACACAAACTGGATTCCACGAAAAGAAATTCATTGAACTACGCGAAATGTCCAAACTTCAACACTCAAAAAGTGGCAGGAGTCAGTCATCCGCAAAAAATGCCAAGTTTCTCTTGCTTCTTCTTGCCTTGGCTGAGTTTAAGCATGCAGATCGTAAAGATGGGAAAGGAAAGTCCATCAAAAGTAGGGTTGACCTGGCTCAAAATGAGGAACCCAAATTCAAATCCAGTGGTCTATCATCCTTTTCCCGAACAAAACACAGCACACACAGACACATACAGTACATATTATCACATTTACATTATGTAATATATATATATATACCAGCTAAACCTCACAAGCCGGAATTTTGGCAATTTTAACGAAATGGCTCGTTTTTTCAAGAGAGGCTAGAATTCCAACACCTGTCGTATTAGATGCAGAAATTCCGTAATAGGTCAGTTTGTTAGCCCTGCAGCCATTTGCACATTCTCAAAACAAGCCCTGGCACCTGTCATGCCGTGACTGACGATGTTTTTAGGTACTTCTGGCATGTTTATCGAAATTTTGGTCAGGGTTTGTCATTTGTGAACGCACTTGCACTTGATATGTTGACCTCCTGAAGCCGCAGCCGCAGCCTTTTCACCATCATGAACCGCAGGCATTTGGCTGAAGGCTTCTTGTGCTCTTGGTGTTGGGGCGCACTATGGCTCCCAAGGCAGTGCTCTTCACTGACTTGAAAGGGTTGTGCCACGCCTGGGACGCTGACCAGAATCTGCGGACCCGCATGCGGACGCACAAGCGTCTTTTGTTGGAGAAGCCCCCTGCTGGCCAAGAGCCAGAGCCGAGCACCAATTCTGTCAGCAAGACCGCAGAGAACGTGCGCTACAACGTGCTGGCGCTGCGGCCTTTGGTGAAGAGAATGTCTTCGGCTCGTTCGGCCACGGCGTGCATAGAGACTTTGACAGCAGAGGTCTTGGCTTTCCATGAGTCGCACGGCTTCAATCCCGGCATCAAGGTTGTCTCAGATGAAGCCTGGGGCCTGAGATACTTGATGGGGTGCTTGAAGAATGTCATGTGGAAGAAGAATCCTCCAAGAGAGACTTGGCCCCACATTGTTGTTTAAAGAGCCTGGTCTTGTTTTGTGCTTTCATGACTTGCCGCCACCGACCATCAGGATGAAGTCATGAAGTCCTTGCTTGTGGACTTCGGGGTGGACGTCGTGAATTGGAAAGGTGGCGCGCAGAGGAGTGCTCAGGAGGACTGCTGGGTCCAAAGGGTTGGTTATCTTAAAGTCAGGGTTCATGCCGTAGCCACCTTCTGTAAACCATGTTCAAAAACCCTGCGGCCATTTCTTTTAAGATCATGTGTTCCTCGAGTGATTGCATTTCTGAACTGCAGCCTTCTTCACCGCATTCCTTTTTGTTCACTTCGTGTCATGTGTTGACTGTAGCCGTCTTCACCGCAGCCTTTTTTCTTTAACTTCATGTCATGCGTTTATTGCAGCCGTCTTCACCGCAGCCATTTTTGTTCGCTTCATGTGCTGTGTTTACTGCAGCCATCTTCTCCGCAGCCAATTTTGTTCACTTCATGTCACGTGTTTTCTGCAGCCGTCTTCACCGCCGCCATTTTTTTTCACTTCATGTCACGTGTTTTCTGCAGCCGTCTTCACTGCAGCAATTTTGTTCACTTCATGTCACGCGTTTACTGCAGCCGACTTCACCGCAGCCATTTTTTTCACTTCATGTCACGTGTTTTCTGCAGCTGTCTTCACCGCTGCCTTTTTTCTTTAACTTCATGTCACGCGTTTACTGCAGCCGTCTTCACCGCAGCTATTTTTGTTCACTTCATGTCCTGTGTTTACTGCAGCCATCTTCTCCGCAGCCATTTTTGTTCACTTCATGTCATGCGTTTACTGCAGCCGTCTTCACCGCAGCCATTTTTTCACTTCATCTCACGTGTTTTCTGCAGCCGTCTTCACCACAGCCATTTTTATTTACTTCATGTCACGTGTTTTCTGCAGCCGTCTTCACCGCAGCCATTTTGTTCACTTCATGCCACGTGTTTTCGGCAACCGTTTTGTCAGCATTGGTTCTGACCATCTTTCTGCAGCCAGCTTCCACTGCAGCCATTTGTCCTTGTTGCTATTTTAGGCTTCTGCGGGTACGTATACACTTGTGGTGCCCAGCCATTTTTCTGTAGCCACTTTCTTTCGCAGCTGGTTTGTCGGCGTTGGCGCTAACCATATTTTTGCAGCTACCTTCCACTGCAGCCATGTCCTTGTTGCCATTTCAGGGTTCCTAGTGTTATACCTGTGGTCCGAATCCAGTCTTCTGCAGCAATTTTCTTTCGCAGCCATTTTGTCAGCGTTGGCGCTGACCGTCTTTCTGCAGCCACCTTCCCCTGCAGCCGTTTATCATTGTTGCCATGTCAGGCTCGGTTTATAGAAGCCATTTTTCTACAGCCATTTCCTGCGCAGCAATTGCATGATTGGTAACTTTTGTTCTGCAGCCATTTTCCTTAGCAGCTGTTTGTCTTAATTTTCTTTTGTCGCCATTTTTCTGCATATTCTGCCCCGCAGATGTGCGTCAATTTCAAAATAAATCTTTGCGCAGCCATTTTTCCACAAGTTGTGATCGTAGCTACTTGAGGATATTTCTAAGTTCCTTATGTTCGTATCTTGCTTTTTCGCGGCCGTTTTCCTTCACAGCTGTAGGTTCATTTTCTATAGGTAACATGGTCCCTACTCTTCCTTCTGCTGCCATTTCTTGCCCGCAACTGTTTTCTGGTGAATAGTCAATGTTTCCGCAGCCATGTCTTTTCTGCAGCTGTTACCTTTTCAAAGTTGCCTTTCGCCAACCGTTTGTACACCATATCTTTATCTTTATTTTCATGGATTGTCACTGCAGGAGAGGCCCTCACCAAGTTCAGCGGGGGACTCTCCAAGCTCAGCTGTGGTGCCTGCAGCCCCGGAGGCACCAGGTGCGGCGCCTTCATCAAGTTCAGCGCTGCCTGCAGCCCCGGAAGCACCAGCTGCGGCCTCTTCCCCAAGCTCAGCTGTGGTGCTTGCAGCCCCAGAAGCACCATCTGCGGCGCCCTCACCAAGTTCAGCGGCGGCCTCTTCCCGAAGCTCAGCTGTGGTGCTTGCAGCCACAGAAGCACCAGCTGCGGCAAGTTCAGCGGCGGCCTCTTCCCGAAGCTCAGCTGTGGTACCTGCAGCCCCGGAAGCACCAGATGCGGCTCCCCCAGTGCTGGAGACGCCTGCTGTGACCCCTGCAGTCTTGGAGCCACCTGCAGCGGCCAGCGCACCTGCAGAGAAGTTGGACGCCTCACCTGGAGCCCGCCAGCCTGAGTTCCGCCAGTCCTTGCTGTCCTTGGCCATGCGTCGCCAGTTGATGCTCCGAATGTCGCTTGGCTTATTTCACACACAGTGCAATATGCTGATTGGGTTGTAAGCCAGCACATGATCATTAATGACTATATATACTGTGTACTTAGAATGTGTCTACTTGATCGGCATATAATCCTGCATCACTTTCCATGAGCATCAGGCTGTCTTCCTTGAAGAAAGAGGAAGAGGTTTTAAGTGTGCAAGCTGAAGCTGCCGCCGTGGCTTTGTGTTCCGCGAGATCTTCTTCTTCCACCGGTTTCTAGGTGGCATTCTTGTTTTGCCGGTGTTTGAACGTGAAATTGGTTGAGATTCTACAGGTTACGACGCGTTTACCTGAGGTTCTCCTGCAGACATGTTGGAGACGCTGCCTTTGCCTGAAGCTGATGATCTGCTGGATGTTTCTTCCCTGCCGCCTCCCAGCGTTGCTCCTTGTCCTGTAATGGCAGAGGCAGAGGCATCCCTGGAAGCACCTGCTGCTGCGGAAGAGGAAGACTTCCGTCGGAAGCAGCTCGCTGTGCGGGCAGAAGAGAAGGAGGCTCAGCAAGCTGCACGGGAGGAAGCAAAGAACAACAAGGAGAAGCAGCAGAAGCCAAAGGCGAAAGCCAAGGGCCGACCACGAAAGACTGACGACAAGGCAGCCCCCAAGAGAGCACCCAAGCGCAAGAACACGGAGGAGGCTACGGAGGAGGCTGAAGTTCCTGCAGTTTCTGTGCCAGTTGAGGCGAAGCCCAAGAAGCAAAGGCGCACAGCTGCCAAGTCCAAAGCGAAGCCTGGGCAGTGGGAGTACCCTCCGGAGGTTGACAGGGACATGATCCCGGAGTTCCTCGAGGTCATGAAGCAGTTCAAGGACCAGTCCTACGACAAGTCTGAGATGACTCTCCACACGAAGTACCTCGACTTATTTTTTGGGGGGTGGGTGGATCCACGATCACATATTGTGTTGGCATGATATGTTATCATACATGGACAGTTATCCTGTGTATATATCTCAAAATCTTGTGATCAGACCATTATGACAAAGAAATTCCATGATACTTTATTGATATTTTCATGATCTGACCTTGCAGGAAGTTTGCAGATTGGATCACCATCCCTGTCTACTGGACCCGCCCTGCTGTCGGCATCAAGATTGCCACGGAGAGCGGTGTGACACAGCGGTACTACACCGGAAGGAAGTTCAACAGCATCGCCGTGAACATCCTGGTTGCCCACAAGATGGCAGAGAAGTTGGTGGCTCATCCGCGTGAGTGGGCCATGAGTAATGAAGCCAGCACGTGCTTCGACAATTTGCAGTTGACCGCTGCGGCTGCCCATGACAAGTTTGAAGATCTGAGGGCCCGGGGTCACTGAATAGGATCCTGTTGTTTTTGGTCATATTTTTGACCTTGACATGGTGAATGCTGATGGCTTACCAACAGCTGGGTGTCCCATGTAGTGAAAGCTTTTGAAGC